GCAGCCCGATTCGTAACCACTACGATACATGCCTACAAATTTTAAGATACTCCTGCCTTCAAAAAGTGGAGCTTCATCCTCCTCCCCTTGAATGTAGACTAGACTTAGTGACTTGCTTCTGAATAATAAAATGTGGCTTAAGTCATCTAAGTGACTTCTGTGGCTATGTCATAAAAAGAATGAATTCTGTATGGTTCTTTCTCTTGGATTGTTCACTCTGACAGTAAGTCAAAAACTCAAAATCATAGAAAATTTTGTTAAACAAAAATATCAAAATGAGAAGCTGTTGTTTCTTGATCCTCCATCTAGGACTAGTCCTGGTGTGACGCTATAGGATAAGCAACCACAAGGTTGGTGGTTCAAACCCACCAACCGCTCCTTAGAAACCCTATTCAGGGTAACTATGAGTCAGTAACGACTTGATGGCACTTAACAACAACAGATCTGCATACTTTTGAAGGAAGCGTTTCCATCTCTCTAATGTTTCTCCCAAATAAATCTGTGTTCTTTGATTTAGCCCACATCAAAATGGCAGTTTGGAAATCCTCAAGGGTCTCAAACTTTGTTCCTCTTAAATGTACTTTGAGTTGTGGAAACAGAAAGAACTATGAAGGGGCAAGGTCAGGTCTGTAGGATGGATGGGAAAGATTTCCTAATGAAACTATCATAGGACAACCCTTGCTACCCACAAAGAATAAGCATGTGTACTATTGTGTTGGGTTGTGATGGAATCCTCCACACAAATTTTCCAGATATATTCCCCACCAGTGCAGTTGTCAGTATTCCTAATACTTGTTCTTAATAAATGCTCATGATTGTTGTGTTCCTTCAAGAAAGTCTATCACTATTGCCTCTTTGAGGCCCCAAAAAACGATCGCCATAACTTTCTGAGACAGCTTGGTTTTCTCTACCTTGAATTTAACTGACCTAGATGATCCGATCCCCTTGATAAACTTGGAAGCCACTGTTTTAATTGGACCTTTTGTTGGAAGACACCCTAACGAGACTAAAACAAGTGCACTACTCTCAGAACTTATCTGCCATCATCCTGCTTTTAAGTGCCGTCGACTAGATTCTGACCCACAGCGACCCTGCACAGGGTTTCCAAGGCTGTAAATCTTGACGGGAGTAGAAAGCCTCATCTTTCTCCCGCGAAGCGGCTGGTAGTTTCAAACTTCTGTCCTTAAGGTTCGCAGCCCGATTCGTAACCAGTACGCATTTTTTAAAATGTTTTGTTTGGAAAAAACACATGCATACAAGAAATAGAATCCTAGAAGCAATACTATTTGACTTACCCTCGTATTATGAAGATATTCACGCAGTCTATGGAGAGGCCCAGGTGAAAAAGTGTTAGGTCTCCTGCCAACAATCAGCACCAACTTGCCAGCCCTGTGAGTGAGACTCCTTAGAAGCAGCTCCTTCAGTGAGGGAGGGCTTCACAACAGTTCGGTTATTGCCGTTGTTAACAAGGGTCATGTGCACACCGCATGACAACCAGATTTGTTGCCTGTAGTATTTTGACCCAAGTCCTAGTGTGGGGCTGAGGGATCAGCACTGGACTGCTAATCAAAAGTTGGTGCTTCAAATCCACCAGTCGCTCCTTGGAAACCCTTTACTGGCTCAATATGAGTCAAAACCGACTCGACAGCCTTAACAACAAAAAACAAACAGCTGTGCATCACTCAAAGCTGGGGGCTGACCATGTTACTTTGAATGCATGTTGCTCTACAAGAGTCCTGCCATCATCCTTCCTCCTGGGAGTTTCAGGAGTCTGATGTGGCAGATTAGATTACTGGCAGCACTTTGGACAGCAACACATATTCAAAAAGACGCAGTGACCACCATCTCTGAGCAAGGCACAGCTATTTCCTGCTGCTGCTATGTGGTATCCAGTCGGTTCTGGCTCATAGTGACTTTGTATAGGGTTTCTGAGACTGTAACTCTTTATGGGAGCAGAAAACCTCATCTTTCTCTGGTGGAGAAGCTGGTAGATTTGAACTGCTGACATTGCAGTTGGCAACCCAATGCATAACCCACTGTGCTATCAGGGGTCCTTCAGCTATTTCCTACGTGGGTCAAAAAACCACAGGCACATATATAGTTGCTATGGAATGTCTTATGGGGGTGGGAGTGGTGTGTGTGGCTTGTTTATGAGATGGCAATTCCTGAATTAGTTTGAACAAGTTCAAAGCCCTGCCTTCAGTGATGTAGCCCTGACTGACATCCTTTGATTTAATACCACCATAAACTTAAAGTATACAAGTCAGTGGCTTTTAATATGGTCACAGAATTATGTAATCATCACCACCAATTTTCATCTCCTACAAGAGAAACCCTGGGCTCTTTAGCATCTATGTGTCACTTCTCCCCGACCCAGCGCCCCTGTTAACCACTAATATGCTTTCTGTCTATATGGATCTGATATTTCAGTTATGCTGGCTCTATTTTGTTTTACATGTATATGGAATCCTGGTGTGGCACTACAGGGTGAACACTGGACTCTTAACTGCACAGAGGTTCAAACCTATCAGCCACTCTTCAAAATTGACCTAACAACACGGGATTATATATGTAATCATTTATGACTGGTTCCTTTCACTTAGTATAATGTTTTTAAGGTTCATTAGTGTTTTAGTCTGTATCAGTATTTATTTTCATTACCAGATAAAATTCTGTTTATCCATTTATCTATCAGTTGATGACATTTGGTTTGCTTCTACTTTTTGGCTACTTTGAATAATATTATGAACATTCATGTGCAAGTGTTTGCGTAGTAGGCTTATGGTTTCATTTCTATTGAGGATATTCTGTGAGTGGAAGTGCTAGGTCAAATAGTAATTAACATTTTGAAGAAATAACAAATTATTTTACAAAGAACACCATTTTACAATCCCACCAGCATTGTGTAAAACTTCAAATACTTGTTATTGTCTATTTATATTTTCTTTCAACCATCCTAGTCCTGGTGTGGTACGGCAAGATAAACATTAGATTTCTAACTGTAAGGCTGGGGGTTCCAATCCTCGGAAATGCTACACAGAGTCACTATGAGTCATTTTGCTTGGATCAATCATCAACACTCATGAAAGCAGCAGTAAGGTAATCAAACCATGGATTACATTAAACAAGTCTGCTGCATAAGTGTAAAAGAGCAAAGATGTCTATTTGAGGGCTAAGGTGTGCCTGACCCAAGCCATAGTATTTTCAATAACCTCATATGCATGTGAAAGTTGGACAGTGAATAAGGAAGACTGTCGAAGAATTGATACATTTGGGTTACGGTGCTGGAGGGGAATATCAGAAGCACCATGGGCTGCCAAAAGAACTAATAAATCTGTACTGGATGAATTGCAGTCAGAGTGCTCCTTGGAAGCCAGGATGGCCAGACTTCATCTCTCACACTTCAGACACACCATCAGGAGGGTCCAATTCTCTGGAGAAGAAGTCATGTTTGATAAAGTGGAGGGTTGGAAAAAAGAAGTCCCCTAATGAAATGGATTGGCACAGTGGCAGCAGCAATGGACTTAGGCATAGCAATGACTGTGAGGTTGGCGCAGGACTGGGCCATGTTTTATTATGTTCTGCATAGGGTCGCTCTGAGTCAGTATCAACTGAATGGCACCTAACAACCACAAGTCGGAACCAACTTGACAGCACTTAATAACAAGTCAGTGTGAAGAGTTCTAGTGTGGTGCTGTAGAATAAGCACTGGACTGGGAACTACAAGGTCAGCGATTCAAATCCACCAGGCATTCCTTGGAACCCTGACACAGGGTTGCTATGAGTGGAACTGATTCAATGGCACTTAGCAGCAGCAATCTAAGTGAAGGAGAATTGGTGATACAGAAGTAACCTCTCAACTGGTAACCCATGAGCCAATCTGTGTGGAAAACATGCAACAGTCTGCTTCTGTAAAGATTATAGCTTTGGGAACCTCACAGGACCATTCTACTCTGTCCTTTCAAGTCCTTATGAGTCTCAGTCAACTCAGTGGCAAAGGGCATGAATTAGTCAGTGTAAAATGGTAGCTCAGTACAATTTTGATGTGCATTTCTCTGACGATTGATGATGTTGCACATTCTTTACTTTTTGGCTTTTGGTATGTCTTCGTTGGCATATCCATTCACATCCTTTTAATTAGGTTGGCTTTTTATTGTTGAGTTATAAGAATAAGAATATTTGTTCTGATCAGATACATGATTTGCAAATATTTTTCCCATTCCATTTAACATTTTTATTTTCTCGATTCTGATCTTTTTTCATTTTGATAAAGTCCAATTTATCCTTTTTTTTCCTCATTTGTGCTATCCTTGTCATATCTAAGAAACCACTGCCAACCCCAAGGTCATGAAGATTTATTCTTATGTTCCCTCCAAAGAGTTTTATACTTTTAGCTATTAAACTTAGATCTACTGTCATCTTCAGTCTGTTTTTGAATATGTTGTGAGGCAGGGATTCAACTATATCATTTTGCATTTGTCTAGCCAATGGAAGGGGGTCTGCGAACCCATTCTGCCCCTCCACTATCTGTTAAGGAATCAGAAACACAAAAGGCATGAGTCAGCACCAGCACACTTTCAAATATACTTTTGAGGAAGAATCATTCATTGGAACCCAATTCTATTCCTTTGGGGGTGAAAAGGAGGCAGCATGAGGGCAAAGGAGGCAAAAAGGAAGTTGATTTTCTGGTAACATGAAATATTTTTGAAATTCACTAAATCATTCAGAACTTGACTGACTAATGCACCTATAAAAACAAGACCACTCTCTGGTTAGTTTTAACAGAGAAGTTACATGGCATGATGCCTTGGAAAGCAAGAATTTAGTCTAAGACATAACTTAGAAAAAGACACATTTTGCATAATTCCATTTATGAAAGAAAACAACTTCTCTCCAGTATATTCTGTCCAACTATGAAATTTATTTTAAACATAAGGCTTTTGGAAAAGGCAAACCCAACTTAAAAAAAAAAAGAAGAAGAAGAAAAGAAAGAAACCAACTGCTATGCAGTTAAAATACTGTGGTTCCAAAGTACAAAAATGAGGCAAGATTATATCGTGAAAGTAGAAAAAGCCACATGAAGTGAAATCACCCATGACAATCTGTCATATTAGTCATTATGCATTTCAACATCTGCAACTGGAAAGCTACAGAAGTCAAAAAATAAACACAGAGAAGACTCTCAAGGTCCATAGACTGATGCTGCGGCTGTAATACCGAGCCCTCTGTCCATTTCATGTAAAAATAAATTAAATATAAATAAAAAGGTGAGGATGCTTCACAGGTGCATACTCTGACAAGGCATGATAACTGGATTGGCTGCCTTTCCTCTCCCACACTCGCTACACAAAACTCTCCTCCATGTTGCTACAGAGTAAGAAGGAGTCCACAAGCCGGGGCTGCACCAGCTGCTGGAAGTCGGAATCCTGGAGGCCTTCGGGGCAGACACTGGCCAGTCTGCGCAGAGCGGCCTAGGGAGAGAGAGAAGAAATGGTACATGTCAGACCAGCTTCTGCTTAGGTGCAAATATTCCCTTCAACTGCCCTGAGAGACACATTTCAGGCTGTGGTGCATTTCCCAGCTAAATCAAGTAGAACGTTAGCTTGGTTGCCTAAGTGATCTGATCTGCTACTTTGGGCCTCCTGGTCACTATAATAGTGACCTTATCACTTGACCACCTGGTTACATATGTATCCTGGTCACCATGGTAGATGTCATCTAAAAGTTCTTAATGATCTTTAATTAATGGTCTTGGCATCTTCGTTTTTCAGTCATTTTAAGGGCCTTGCCATTTTAAGTATCTGTTCAACTCGCTAGGTGCTGTTGAGTCAGTTCTGACTCATAACAACCTTATGTAAAGCAAAACCGTTCCCAGTCCTATGCTATCATCATGACTTTGCTGTTTGAGTTCATTGTTGGAATCCATTTTAGTGGCATATATAAGTCCAAGTTTCGTTCATCCCAGTTATTTGAACTTCAGAAGCATCACTCAAATTGTATGTTTCCAGGGCCTTAGAGTAACCCTAGAACAGCAAAACACTATTCATTTATTCATGAATTCAGCAAGGCCCTGAGCAAAGCATTATCAGACGGAAAGGAAGGAAGAGAGAGAGGCTGAATTCCATAATGCTTTTTGATTGCTCCTGGCTTTGGAAGGAATACTCCATTGCCTGAGTTGTCATAGTAAATATGAAAACAGAGATCAGTCATCAGAAGAAACCCTAAGGCCACAGATGTATTTTGAAGCACCAGGAATAAGACTAAAGCAAGAGGAGGAAAGGACAAAGGGAGACACAGAAATAGTGACAATGGAAGTACTGACTCATCACAAGCAAATATGAGATAGGATAAGAACACAACAGAGGGAATGAAAAGAGAAAGAGAGACGGAATGCGAAATATTAAGAGACACAAATATTGAAACAAAGACAGAGGTGAACTTAGTGAGGGAAAAGACACAAATCATGAAAGAGATGGAAAGAGAAGACTGTGGCTAGGGAAGGGCAGGTCTTACGAGAGCCAAGATGAGGAGGCAGAAGAAGGGAAGGGAAAGGAGGAGAAAGGAGAAAGAAGGATGAGGGGAGAGGAAGTGGAGAAGAAGGGAAAGAAAGGGAGAAAGAAACCCTCAGGAGAGGAGTTAAACTCTAGAAAGAGAAAAGCAAAATAAATAAATAAAGCACATACACAGAAAAAAACAGAAACAGACCTGTAAAAGTTAAAAAAAAAAAAAAAAAAAAGGCAAATAAACAGCTTTATCGTCTCCAGAGACCTCAGAAGGTCTGCAGGACAAGAATGCCTGCTCAGAGCACCCCTCCCTCAGTGTCCAGCAGCCTCAAAGGATGCTTCACCCTTCTAAGGCTTTTCTCTCAAGCTCTGCTTTCCTGGGAGGGTTAACAAGCAGTCCTCACAGGATCATATTCCCAGACAGCTTAAAAGACGCAAGTTTTAAACAAGCTCAGCAGTCCACTGACAGCCGCTTCATTAAGAAAAAAATCAATTCTGTTTGCGAGAGGCAATTTGCACTGCTACTTCTCCAGACGTGGGAGAAGATCATTGAAATTTCCTCCTTTCACCTGGAGGGAGCCTTTGAAATTAGAAAGATGATCTTAGGGAAAGGCAAGAAAGGAAACCTCCAATTTCATCTGTCAGGCCAGGCTCCAAGTGACCCCCTCTGACCTGTCAGGGGGCCACACTCAAATATCAGTACCCCTTCTGTGAACTAAACCACAGACACCCAACAACACTGGATGTGACAAGTCCATCAGCCCCCGTGTCATGAAACTCAAGGTTTTCTGGTGCTAGTAAGATCTGGCCTAAGAAGGTCTCAGGCTACCCATAACCCATTGCTGTCAGGTCAATTCTGACTCACAGCGACTTTGGAGGTGAGAGGAGAATGACTTACAGGGTTTCCAAGTCCATCGATCTTTATAACAGCAGTCTGCCACATTGCTCTCCCTCAGAGTAGCTAATGGGTTTGAACTGCTGGCCTTTTGGTTAGCAGCCAACCACTTAACCATTGTGCCACCAGGGCTCCTTTAGTCCCAGGTTGTTATTGTTAAGTGCCATCCAGTTGGTTCCAACTCATAGCAATCCTGAATAGAATTTCCAAGGCACAATTGGTGGGTCTGTGCTGCCAATCTTTCAGTTAATAGTCTAGTGCTTACCCTACCGTGCCACACCAGAACTGCTTAGTCCTAGGCTGTTGTTGTTGTTAGGTGTTGTCAAGTCGATTCTGACTCATAGTGACTAAGCACAATAGAACGAAACACTGCCCAGTCCTTGTCATCCTCACAATCATCATTAAGCCCATTGCTGCTGCTGTTGCCACTGTGCCAATCCATCTCATCCGGCTTCCCCTTTTTGACTGACTCTCCACTTTACCTGGTATGATATCCTACTCCAGGGGCTGTTCCTTCCTGGAAATATGCCCTAAGTACAAGACACAAAGTCTCACCATAGCAGCTTCCAAGGAGAATTCTGGTTGTACTTCTTCCAACACAGATTTGTCTGTTGTTCCTACAGTCCTTGGGACTTTTAGTATTTTTCTCCAGCACCATAACTCAAATGCATCAATTCTTTTATGGTCTTCTTTAGTCACTGCCCAACTATCAAGTGTAAATGTTGTTGTTGCTGTTGTTAAATGTCATAGAGTTGGTTCCTACGCATAGTGACCCAAGTTTCCAAGGAGCAGCTGGTGGGTGTGAATAGCCCACCTTCTGATTTACAATCCTGTGCTAATCCTACAGTGCCACATCAGATGTCATGAGGCTATTGAAAATACCATGGTTTAGATCAGCACACTTTGACCTCAAATTGACATCTTTGGTCTTAAACATTTGAATCAGTTTTGTGTAGCAGATTTGCCTAATGCAATAAGTCATTTGGTTTCTTGACTGATGTTTCATGAGTGTTACTGGTGAATCCAAGCAAAATGAAGTCTTTGACAGTTTAAATCTTTGTTCCATTTATAATTATGTTATTTATTGGTCCAGTGGTTAGGATGTTTGTTTTCTTTTCATGAAGTGCAACCCATTCCTAAGGCTTCATCAGTAAGTGTTTTAAGTCCTCTTTGTTTTCAGCAAACAAGGTTGTATCATCTGCATATGCCAAGTTGTTAATGTATCTATCTCCAGTCCTGGTGCCACTTTCTTCTTCATATAATCCAGCTTCTCAGATTATTTGCTCAGCATACAGATTGAATAAGTATAGTGAAAGAATACAACCCTGGCACACACCTTTCCTGATTTTAAACCATTCAGTGCCCCCTTATTCTGTTCAAACAACTGCCTCTTGATCTATGTACAAAGTTCCTCATGAGCACAATTAAGTGTTCCAGAATATTCATACTCTACAATGTGGTCCATTGCTTGTCATGATCCACATATTTGAAAAACTTTACATAGTCAATAAAGCATTCATCATCAAAAAGAACATTTCAAGATCTATCTTGAAGTATAATGCTGTCTGAGATAGGATAATATCCATATGTCTATACAGGAAGACCAGTTAATACCACTATTATTCAAAGTTATGCACCATCCACTGAAGCCAGTGATGATGAAATTTAAGAATTCTTCAGTATGAAATTGATCAAGCATGCAATCAAGATGTATTGCTAATTACTGGTGATTGGAGTATTAAGGTTAGAAACAAAGAGGAAGGATCAGTAGTTGGAAAACATGGTCTTGATGATAGGAATGATGCTGGAGAACACATGAATTTTGCAAGACCACTGACTTCTTCATTGCAAATAACTTTTATAAAAAGTATAAAAGACAAATATATACATGGACTTCACCAGATGGAATAAACAGAAATAAAATTGACTACTTTTGTGGTTGTAGTGAGGTTGGCCCAGGATCGGACATTGCTTCGTTCTGCTGTGCATGGGGTTGCTGTGAGTCGGTTCCGACTCGATGGCACCTGACAACAACAACAACACTTTTGTGGAAAGAGACATTGGAAAAGCTCCATAGCATCACCCAAAAAGAAGGCCAGGGGCAGACTGTAGAACAGACCACCAATTTCTTATATGCAAGTTCAGGATGAAATTGAAGAAAATTAAAACAAGTCCATGAGAGCCAAAATATGACCTTGTACATATGCCACCTGAATTTAGAGATTATCTCAAGAACAGGTTTAATGCATTACACACTAATGACCGAAGACCATGATGACATCAAGAACATCATACGGAAAGAAAGCAAAAGGTCATTAAGAAGGCAAGAAAAAAGAAAGGATCAAATGGATGTCAGAAAAACCTCTGAAACTTGCTCTCCAGCATAGAGATGCTAAAGCAAATGGAAGAAATGAGGAGGTAAAAGAGCTAAATAGAGTTCCATGGTAGAGAAACTTAAATCCGAATCCCCTCCCAAATGTCAAGGTACTAAGATAGAAACCATAAGATGGAACTCTAGAAAGTACACCTAGAACATGATAGTCTTGTAGAGCAGTCAAGGTCTTCAGAGTCAAACAGACTGTGTCTGAATTCCAAGAGCTTCCATTGGAGCAAGTGATAGTACAGCCTGCCCCACTCTGGGTAACGTGAAATCTAAGAGGACAGGCCCAAGAACATACTGTGCACTCCTATCCTTGCACTAGGGAAGTCTCCTGGAGAACTGAGCCTTGGAGGATGGGCAAGCTTTTAATAAGCAAAGATATAGAAAAGCCATCTGCTTCAGCCAACGACTAAGACATAGTGTTGGAGTGGTTCAGGGCACTCTGGCTTAGCTGAAAGTGGGAAGCCTAGGGGTAGGTCCAAGCCAAATTGGGAAGGACTGAGAATATGGTCGTGCCTATGCATAATGGAGAACCATGGAAGGGTTTGGTCAGGGAGGTTCAATGATTGTAAACTGTCATTAGGAAAATTAACCCAGATTCTCTTCAGTATCGAACTCATCCACAAGAACAAGCTTAATCTCTTTTCCACTTGAAAGCCCTTCATGTTATAAAAATAATTGACAAGCCATTCTGGGTGTTTGTTCTCCAAGCTAATAGTAGAAATGACAGCAATAAAAATAGCAAGCCCTCATATCTAAACGGAGTTTTATAATTTATCAAGAGCTTCTAATGTTGTTAATATTTCCTCAGAGCCTAGTCAGGGTCCAGCAGTTATTGGCTGCAGCGGTGAGGATAATGGTTGTTAGGACCAATTATTAAGTACTTGTAAGTTATTAATCTCTCTTATTTTAATCACTAGAAAAACAAAATTAGAGGGTTCATAAACTTGGATGAGAAAAAACCAGTCATTTTTATTTTCACTAACCTCTAACATTAGCATTTCCTTCAGTTATGAATGTAGCAACAAACCCTGAAGTCTTAGAAACCTGTGAATTTTTCACCAATCGCCTGATTTCCAATTGTGATTTATAGATACTCTCATATTCCATTACAGTTGATGCAGATCCCTTCAAATTTCATTGATGATCATTACTACTGAAGATAACAGTCTTCATTAGACCCACTGCTTCCTGTCAGTTCATCTTATAAATGTTACTGTTGTTGTTAAGTGCTGTGGAGTCAGTTCCTACTTATAGTGACCCTGTATAGGAATTGCAGTGTGCAGCTGGTAGGTTTGAACCACTGACCTTGTGATTAGCTGTCCAGTTCTGATCCTACAGCTACATATCAGGTCTCCAAACTTATGAATAATAACAAAATGAGATGCTGCATAGACTTGCGCCATCTTCATGATCTTTGATTAGCAGGAGCCCATCATTGTTGCCTTGTGCCAGTCCTTGTTGAAAGTGCTCCTCATTTTTGCTGACCCTCTTCTGTATTAAACATGATACCCTTTTTCTAGGAAGCAGGTTTTCCTGATAACACGTCCAAAGTAGGCAAGACAAAGCCTTGCCATCCTCAAGTCTAAGGAATGTTCTGGTTTTAGATTCACTTGTTGTTGTTGTTGTTGTTGTTGCTGTGTACTGTGTGCTCTGGAGTCAGTTCTGACTCATAGTGACCCTGTACAGGATTTCCAAGTAGTGGCTGATGAGTTTGAACCACCAACCGTGTAGTTCAAACCGATTTAGCAGTCCAGTGCTTTAACGCACAGCACCACACCAAGACTACTAGATCATATTTGATATGTTGATTAAATAAATTGCACATATATTAACATAACTCATGTTTAAATACAAGGGGGCTTCAAAAAGGTTTGTGGGAAAACTCCATTATCTTTTCATTCCATTTCTTCACAAACATTTTGAAGCTTCCTGGTACTTCAATATGAATTTGAATATAATTGGTTTCCTTTCAATAAGAATTTAAATATATTGGTCTCCTTTTTAATTCCATGTATTTATTTTGATCTGAGGGTAGGGTCTATAACGTTTACTAGAAGACCAATGCACACAAAAGATTAGGGTTTCCTTCTGTGCCCCAGAATCCAATCCCCATGAGAGCAGAGATTGTTGTCTGGCTTTTCCACAAATGTATCCCTGTTACTTAGAAGAGTGTATATAGGATCACTCAGTAAGTATCCACAGAATACATTTTACAGCAGTCAGTGACTTACCCAATGTTTCATAGTTCATCGTCAGTAAGAACTAGACAGTTCTATCTGACTGCAATATGCTGCTGTTTATACAACTGTACCCTGCCCACTGGGAACTCCATGAAACGGGGTGAGCTAAATAAAAACTGGTGGGGAAGAGGAGAGTCTTTATGGAGAAATGGCTTGAAGGACCTTGATGCATATCACCTCTTCCTTGTGTTCTGAGTTCAGATAAATGATCTGCCACTTTCTTCTGGAAGTTAAACGGCCCTGTCTGTACAAAGGCTTTCTTTACTACTTTGGGCGTTTGCAACTGGAAGCTAGAATTTGTTATATACACAGTAGGCTAGAGACAGAACACGGATTTCCCAAGCCATGGTGCTGATGGATTATCTTCTGTGGGGCCCAAGCATCAAGGAAAAGTCAAGTGAGGAACCTGCCAGGGTACTTGCTTGAATTTAGGGTGAAGATTCTGATGATCAGCTCTCTCCTGTCAGGGAAGCCACAATGCTGCAAAGGTCCTAGATGGGGAGCTCTGTCCAAGTGTGAAAGGGTTTTTTTCTCACAATGTGACAAACAAAGGACATCCATATCCTACCCCCACGTACTGTAGCCCACCACCTAGGATTCTGCCAGCCCCTCTGGTCTTGAGCTGTTGATTCTCTAGAACCTAAAATGTTCATGGTTACTAAATATAGAAGGCTTCTAGCCTCCTCTTTAATGTATAACTTTCACTGTAACCTTATGAATCAAATAAAGTATTGTTAGTATCATCATTTTAAAGACAAAAAAACTGAAGCCAAAGTGTCTTCATGGCTTACCCAAGCAAACCACGGCAGTTATTTTTCTTGGCCCTCATCTGCAACTATAATGCCCAAGGAAAAGATTGAGAACTCACCAGGCAGGCTACGAGCACAGCATCACTGCTGTTCCTCTCTGATGGAGTCCTACAGAGCTCGATGAGGCGGGACATACCTGCATGAGACACAAGCAAAGCCTTATAGCTAACTGGAAGTTCCTGGTCAGGCCTTATCAGGAAGGGCTCAGCCTCCTCATGTACCAGGCACTACATGGGGCCCCGTGGAGGCAGGCAGCCCACAGGGTCCCTGGTTAACACACCAATCTGCAGGAAAGGGGGCTGAACCCACCTAGAGGAGTTTGTGATGGGGGCTCTGCTCCCTCAGCTATGAACAGACTCTGGTAAGAACCAAGATGAATGGCAGCAGCAAAAGCAAAGCCACAGGCACTTGAACACTTGCCAAGACTGAACCTGCAGCAGGAAGTTCTGTTTCTCTCTGAGGAATAACTTCCTGTTTGGTACTTTTGCTTTTAGCAGAGCTGTATTTAGTGTTTGCATGTTTACCAGTAGAACGTTCCTGCTATCCTATACAAGTACTATGTATAATACTCTACTATGATGGTAATATTTCCATACCTTTCCTCAGGCCTCTATCTGGAGCACCCTTTCCCAGTCTACACACCTGTTGAACTCTTACTTATCTTTCAAACTATAGCTGTAGGCTTGCCTTTCTTAAAACACTCTTTACTCTCCTCCCCTGGGTAACATATGGATTACTTCATCTGTGCCCCAGTGGGCCATGCAGTGCTTTGTATAATGCCTGTGGTACTCAAGTACAAATATTTACTACCATATTTGTCACTATCATTAGTTGGAACCATTGTGATCAGGCACAATGTTATATTTGGTGTTATATGCCTAGCACTCAGACAGAGAGGAGCCTAGCACAGAATGAGTGCTTTGAACATATTAATTAGATTTTCAAAATGGCAGAATGGATTAATGAATGATTTAGTGACAAAGCACATAGATGGATAAATAAGCAATGAATAAATGATGCCATGAGTAGGCTAATTAAGGAATGAGCAAAGGGACAAATAAAGAATAAAAGAACAAATGAATAGATAAGTATACAAATGAGCTAAAGAATTACTGAAAGAGATGATGAATGAGTGAATGAGAGTTTTTGAGATTCTAATTAAAAGAAAACCCACAACTTAAACTCTTCAAGGATCTTCCTCTCCCTTGCTTCAGTTCCAGACAACAAGCTACACTTGAATCCTATCCCAGCCCAGCCTCAGTTGCATTCTTCCAGAGAATGGGGCTCACCCAAGTAACCCTTTTTGTATGTCCCACCCCACTCCTAAGTTCCCCACTCCAGTTACAGCCCGCATCACTCACAGCTGAGCCGCACAGCCTCCCGTGCCACATCTGGGTCTCGGCTGAGACGGGCCAGGGTCACCGCAGCTTTCTGCTGGACTCGTTCACATGCTGCCACCTCAGCAGGATTTCCAGACCTTGGCTTCTCAGACAACATGTCCATAATAAGCTGGATTCCTGGGCAGGAGACAATGAACCATTGACACCCACCCCCAGTGTGGGGTCTTCCTTATTAGGCCAGATGGATGGATGGATGGATGGATGGATGGATGGATGGATGGATGGATGGATAGTTCAAGCAAAGGTTGTCAGGATGAATTAGCGGGTCCCAGCCACAGTGAGGAAGCTGAACAAGGCCACCTCTTCTACTCCTTCTGCCTAAGGGTATCTCTGAATTCATGTGTCAACACTGGGAAAGAACATCTGGAGGACACTCCTGGAGCTGTGTTAAATGAAATCAATGCATGACACTCCCCTCTCTACCCCCTCCCCGCCTTAAGCTTTTCTTTAGTGCCATGAAGTAGGTACAGAGAAAAGTAAAGTATCTTGCCTAGGGTCACACAGGCAGCAGTTGGGATGACTGATATCAGAATTCAGACAATTTGGTTATTCTTCCTTCCCTTTCTACCTCTGATGCTGGCTGCATCTGACACAAGTACAGAGGTGATAAATTCCCCTAAAGGGAGGTGACCCAAACCTAGGCTGGATAAATGGCTAGATGAAATGTTTTCAAGGGGATTTAAACACTGGAAGAAGATGGAATAGATAAACAGGTTAAAGCCCGAATTTAGTCTACTTAAAAACCTCACCTACTGTCCCCTGAAGGAGCTCTGGGAGCGTTGTTGTTTTGTTATGGGCCATGGAGTCGGTTCTGACTCATAGCGACCCTGCACAGGGTTTCTGAGGCTGTAAATCATTACAGGATCAGAAAGCCTCATCTTTCTCCTGCGGAACAGCTGGTAGTTTCGAACTGCTGACCCTGAGGTTAGCAGTCTGATACGTGGGCACATAACCACCACCACCACCCTCCCCTGAAACTAGATCTGTCTTCCAATGGTTCTAGAAAGCCACAACTGAGCTCACTCTTACTGTGCTTTAGCCCATCTTTCTACAGGGATGTCCTTTTCCTTCCAACCTAAATCCTTCCCAGCCTTCAAACTGCAGTGAAAGGCCACCTTCTATGGCAGGTGCTCACCAACTTCCCCAGCCCCTTGGCCTCTTTTCTGTTTCCAGTGGCATCTGCCATATTAGAAGAAATTTAAACCCAGACATGCCACAGATATTATGCTTTGTTTTGGTGGTCAACATAGAATTTAAATTTTTGTGCGTATGTGACTAATATGTACATTGAAAGATTTTCATTTTTTTTAAATCCATCTTTTGGACTTCTAAAAAATTACCTACCAATCTGGAAAACTTGTACCCATATTCCTGAATGGCAACCATTTGTTAAAGTTGATTGTAAGATTCTTCTTTTAAGTGAGTTTGATCCAATTCCTATTGAGCCCAATTCATCTGTTTTTTGTATCGCCTTACAATCTGTGACATAAGTCATGGAGCTAGAAGGGTCCACAGAGTTCATCTAGCCCAACCTGTCTCTCTGCCCCATCTCGCCAAGACAAGACACATCTATGGTTCTGAAAGAGGAAATGATTCCCAAGTTCCTGAAGGAGTCTGTTTCGGTCTAATAGCTCAGCTTACATGTCTCTCTAAAGCTCTGAACTTAGTACGTGTACAGGTATATCAGAGTCCTGGGAGCAAACTCATCAGCTGCTCTTCAGAAACTCTGTACAGGGTCACTAGGGGTTGGAATCATCTTGAAGGCAGTGAACAACAACAACCAGGTATATTGACTCCTAGTGTAGGATCAGCACTAGATTGTGAACCACAAGGTCTGCAGTTCAAACCCATTAGCCACTCCTCAGAAATCCTATACAGGGTCACTGTAGGTTGGAACCAACTCAGTGGCAGTTAACAACAAAAACAACAACCAGGTATATGTGTCATTTTCTAGCTTTTTTTGGATCCCTATGAACAAAGGTTATGAGTTACATAGTTATGGACCCTGAAACTCTTAAATCTTAGAGAGGGGCTAGGCATTTCTCTCTCTGGTGGGTTCTTCAGTGCCGCATTTATTTTCTTACAAGTTCAGGGGACTCTGATTAGCAGCCTATTGACTTTGCCATCATACAATCTAATCTTGGGGCAAGATGTTTCTCCCCAAACCCTCTCCATGACCAAAGAATGGAATATGGTCTCCTGCTCTCCATGACCACAATGTCCCTAAGGCCAATTCATGACTGCAGAATGTAAAGTTAGAACCTATACGGACTACTATGGTGCTCCATAGTACCAAATTCATAACTTGGACAATTATCATCAGCTTAATAAATTGTAGTAATTCATCCTGGTCAAGGTTCTCATTAAGAAACTCTTTTCCAAATCCCAGAATTTGCTCTTGAGTTCTGACAAAAAACCATTTCTCACACACTAACTAGTAAGCTTCACAAAGCAAGATAATTGACTGTTTTCTGCATGAATATTTTCTAAATGTCCAGAATAGTGCTTACCACACAGTAAGCAATCAAATATTTTTTGAATGACCACCAGCTAATGAATAAATGTGACTATTTTCCTGTGAACTCTTAAAAATGCATACAAAATTAAATGTGTGTATATATTTGATGTCTTTCTAGAAAAATATTTATTGAAATAATGACTACCTAGTAAGGTTGGTTTGAACCACAAGACCAGTGTTTTGAGTTCACCAGCCACTCCTTGGAAATCCTATACAGGGCTGCTGTAAGCTGGAACCAGCTCAATGGCACTTTACAACAACAACAACAGGAAATCCAGCCACCACTCTTCTGTCAGTTTGTCACACCGTGATGGCTTGCGTGTTGCTGTGATATTGGATGCTATACCACCGATATTTTGAATACCAGCAGGGTCACACAGGTGGACAGGTTTCAGTGGAGACCCAGACTAACGCAGACTAGGAAGAAACAGAGGCGAACTGGTTCTGAATGATTAGCCACTTAAAACCTTATGACTAGCAGTGGAACATTGTCAGATATAGTGGCGGAAGATAAAAATGTTATGAATACTAGGAGAATATTGCCATGTATAGTGCCAGAAGATGAGCCCCTCAGGCAACTGGGGACGAAATGCCTCCTCAAAGTAGAGTTGACCATGATGACACAATATAGTAAAGCTTCTGGGATCCTCATATGGTGATAGGGCACAACTCAAAATGAGGAGAAAACAGCTGTAAAATCCATTAATAATCAGGATATAGAATGTATGAAGTATGAATCTAGAAAAATTGGAAGTTGTCAAAAATAAAATAGAACACATAAAGATCTATATCCTAGGCATTAGAGAGCCAAAATGGACTGGTATTGGTCATTTTGAATCTGACAATCATATGGCTTACTCTGCTGGGAACAATAAATTCGAGAGAAATGGTATAGCATCCATCATCAAAAAGAACATTTCAAGATCTAGCTTTAATTACAATGCTGTCTGGGATAGGATACTATCCACAGGCAGAGCAGGAAGACCAGTTAATACCACTATTACTCAAATTTACACAACAACCACTAAAGTCAGTGATGAGAAATCTAAAGAATTCTATCAACTTCTTCAATCTGAAATTGATCAAACATGCAATGAAGATGTATTGATCATTACTGGTGACTAGAATGTGAAAGTTGAAAACAAAGAAGAAAGATAGTACTTAGAAAATATGGCCTTAGAAATAATACTGGACAACACATGATAGAATTTTCCAAGATCAATGACTTATTCACTGTAAATACCTTTCCTAAAGAATATAAAAAGTAATTATACCCATGGACCTCACCATATGGAAAACACAGGAATCAAATTGAATACATCTGTGGGAGGAGGTCCTGAAAATGCTCCATATCATCAGCAAAAACAAGGCCAGGGGTCAATGGTGGAACAGACCAATAGCTTACATGCAAGTTCAGGCTGAAGCTGAAGAAAGTTAAAACAAATCCACAAGAGCCAAAATATGACCTTTGAATTTAAAGACCATTTCAAAAGAACAGATTTGATGTATTGGACACAATAACCAAAGACCAGGAGAGCTGTGTGATGACATCAAGAACAACAAATAGGAAGAAAGTAAAGGGTCATTAAAAAGATAGAAAAGAAAGAAAAAGCCAAAATTGATGTAAGAAAAGACTCAAAGTTGCTCTCCATTGTAGAGATGCTAAAGCAAATGGAAGAAATGAGGAAGTAGAAGAGCTGAAATGAAAATTTCAAAAGGCAGCTCGAGAAGACAAAGTCAAGTATTCTAATGAAATGTGCAAAAACCTGGAGTTAGAAAATTGTAAGGAACAACACTCTCAGCATTTCTCAAACTGAAGTAACTGAAGAAAAAATTCAAGCCTTGAGGCTCAATATTGAAGAATTCTATGGACAAAATGTTGAATGATGCAGAAAGCATCAAAAGACGATAGAAAGGATGCGTAAAATCATTGTACCAAAAAGAAATGGTCAATGTTCAACCATTTCCAGAGGTAGCATATGATCAATAACCGATGGTACTGAATGAAGAAGTACAAGCTCCTTTGAAGGTATTGGCAAAAAAACAAGGCTCTAGGAACTAACAGAATACAAATGGAATGTAGCACCGGAAACACTCACTCATCTAGGCAAAGAAATCTGGACGACAGCTACCTAGCCAACAAATTGGAAAGATCCATATTTGTGCCCATTCCAAGAAATGGAATGCAGAAATCACTGAACTAGATCACTAACATCACATGCAAGTAAACGTTTTCTGAAAATAATTCAAAAATAGCTGCAACTATTGACAGGGAAATGTCAGAAACTCAAGCTAGACTCAGAAGAGACTATAGAACCAGGGATGTCATTGCTGCCATCAGATAGATCTTGGGTGAAAGCAGAAAATACCAGAAAGATGTTTGCCTGTTCCTTATCGATTTGTGCAAAGACTTTTGACTGTGTGGATCATGGCAAGCTATGGAAAACATTTTGAAGATTGGGTATTCCATAACACTTGATTATGCTCATGAGGAACCTGTTCATAGACCAAGAAGCAACTATTTAAACAGAACAAGGGGATGCTTAATAGTTTAGAATCAGGAACGGTGTATGCCAGGGTTGTATTCTTCCACCATACT